TGGTGGTTCCCTTGGACAACATTTAGTTCGATAAGCATCTGAGTTAAATGGAGAGACCGGTAGAAATCTTAGACAGGAAGATGAAGGCCTTATGCAACTAGGTGGTACCTGTAGTCAATGTCTAGTGGCAACATCGGAAGTGTTTCAAGTGGATATGGGAGCCTGAGTCAGAGATGCATGAGCATTATCAAGATCTATTTATAGTTGAGGATTTCGAGGATGAAATTGTTGGATTAGTGTCTGAGTCCATAACTATAATTGGTATGTACTTCACCCGACTTGGCATGGTCCACTTGGATTGCATGACATCATGCATTTGGATAGAATAAAATGAGAGAAATAATACTTAAGGTTTGTTAATATATTATGAGTTCTAATACATTAATAATATTATTTAATTAGTATTGATCAAGAATTAATTTGGAATTAATTAAGTGATCAAAAGGAGACTACTTAAATATATGGGTTGATAGTGTAAATCATCCATACTTGTATAGTGGGATAATACTCCATGGTTTATCAAGTTAGGCTAAAACCCACAGGATACTCCATGGATGCTCCATGGTGTTTTTTAACCCATGGATCTGTTAAATGAAAAAGCCATGACAATTAGGGTTTACATGGTATAACCCTAATTATGATACACTATATAAGCATCATATTCTTCCCAAAATCGGCAACCAAGTAAGAAGGGTGAGGGCTAGCCGATTTCATGAAGTGTTTCATTTCTCTCTAGGTTATTCCAAGTGTATTTGATGTTGTGTGAACCATTTGAGGTGTCACACCTGAGGCACTAGGCTCTTAAGCTCCATGGAATCAAGCTACATGAATAAGGTATGTCTTATAACTTGTTTATATTACCCAAGTATCAATGATTGTATGCTAGATAGGGTAATACCTTGGAAAGTTCAAGTTTGCATGTATAATTGAGACAAGATAGATCCAATGTATTTAGGGTTTCATGTACACCATAGGAGTGTTACAATGCTCAAAACCCATCAGAAATCTAGTTTAAGCGGGGGAGAATTGTAACACTCTATTTCGGTAATCATTTTGTTAAATTGACCTTTTTTAGGCTTAAACCTAGGTCACAACGTGAGAGCCTACATGTCATACTGTGACGTGGCTTCTCGAAAACGCTCATTAGGACTCATGACGTGACCACATATAGGTCACGACGTGAAGTCTGTTGCAGGCCAAACCCTAATTTTGGGGATTTTTCCCGTATTTAAAGGAAGTGAGGGCTAGGGTTAGGCCACCCTTATCCTCCATCACCTCCTAACACCCCCCCCTCCTTGAAACCCTAATCCTCCATAGTTGAATTTGAGTTCCATTTAGGTGTTTTCTAGTCAAGAAGAAAGAGAAACAAAAATTTGGTTATCAACTCAACATTCAAGTTTCACATCATCCATTTTCGCTCCTTGTTGACCCTTCTGAGTTTCTGATTTGAACATATTTTGATTCCATAAGCATAGATCTAGGTTTTTATGCACCATTTTTCCTTTCTAGGCTTGATTTATTGATAGGGGTCCATTAAATTGCCAACTTTCTGGATCTCTAGTGTCCATTTGATGAAATAAGTGTTGGATCTGAAGTATGGTTAGGTTTTAGCACAATTACATGAGCTCCTAATGCCATTTCTTCTGTGTTTTGACCTAGCTTGTTTTTGTGACATGTATTATATATTCATGTCCCAAAAGCCCTATTTTTTATAGTGTTCTATAATAGAGCAGAACTTCTGGAAGTTTTGGTTGCAAGACTTAATGGATTAAGAGCTTAAAGCTCAATTTGGTCCAAAATATAGTCACGAAATGACACCTTGGGTATCATGATGTGAGAATGGTAATCCGAAACTTTTTTTGTTTTACTAGGATACGGCGTAACCATCAGATGGTCACAATATGATGGCTGGCTAAGTGACTTTGGAGTGTTGACTTTGATCGTTGACCATTGACCGTTGACATTGGACGTTGACCAATTTTAACATTAAGTCAATGAGAGTAATTTAAATAGTAGATTGAGGCTTGGTCCCTACTTGTTGTATAGGTGACCTGTAGAGATGGTATTTTAAGCAGTGATCATTTCAACTATCCTTTGGACTTTGAGGTGAATTTTCCTCACTGCATTTGTGGATCGAAGACACCAATGTCGGTTGTCACACCCGACCAATGACGGAAAATGCTAGAGTTACAACGTTTTATAATTGGATCATAGTCAACCACATATATTGAATACTTAACGTATTTGAATCAATATTGTACAAACCTTTAAGTTTTTGGAATTGAAATTGCATCTTCATTTTAAACACACAATGGTAAACAAGTCAAGTCTTTTCCAAAAAGAAAGGAACTATAATTTCCTTAGAACCGATGTCCCACCTCCGGCTTCTTAGTTACCTAAGAATACACACTTTTAAAATACGTCAACAAAAGTTGTTGGTGCATTCCACAAGTTTTGACTTTGTGAGTTTTATAAAAATAAATATTTATAAAACATGGAATGTTTAGCAAAATAAGCTGTGCAAAACATGGTCAACAATGTTACCAATATCCTTCGTGTGAGACCCGATACTTGAAATCCGATACTAGTATACATGTTGATATACTTATGATAAAATTAAATATTAAAATATTTTTGTGAAGCAAAATATTTAGTGTTTGTATAAATAGACACTAACAATCAGTTTAACAATCTACAAACAATATTTATACTACATACAACCTCATCCTAGTTTGTATTAGTATTTTTGTATCCGGGATTTTGTTATAATTCCTAATTGTTTTTGTTTGAAAACTTTTAGTTGTAACACTTAATAATGTAAAGCTACCAAAGTTTTAACAGGACAACGATCGCATGTGTCCCTATAGGAGTTTAAACAGCACGTTGGCTGTAAGTGACCATATACATGTTTAGACACTACTCCGACTGTAAGTGACCATAACATATGTTTAGACAGTACATCGACTGTAAGTGACCGTAACAACTGTTTATACAATACTCCGACTATAAGTGACCAATAAAGTTTATATACCACCCCGGCTGTGAGTGACCAAAATCAACATATTACAAATTATCTTATGTCATAAGCTTTTCAACATGATCACGTTAGAAACATTTGTTATAATTAACACTTTCGTGACCCTTAAAGTGTGTGTGAATTAAAAAAATATCATAATTGGTGTTTCTCTTATTTACAACAAATCTTTGTGTACGCATTTGAAAGACTAAACAACAATGTTAATAAAAAGGGCAATTATGTCACTGTTTTTAGATAAATTCTAGAAAAATCATCGTGACTAAAAATGGGAACCGTAAACTCCCAGAGCTTAGAAAATGGCTTTAATTTGTCCATGATTTTTACCCTGACCTTAAGTGGTTTGTAACTATAGTGAAAATGTTCATTTTTACAGAGTTGTCCGAATGTTTTGAAATGATGGGCAATTTTGTAAAAATCATAATAAATTGTAGAAAAACCGTATGGATGTCTGAAAGTAGTTATTGAAAAGGTATAGACCTGAAATTTTTTCATATTGTAGAATTTTGAAATCCATAAAGTCTAAGAAGGGAAAAACAATCCTTGAACAGACCACAACTTTTCTATAAAAAGATGAAATTTTAACTTAGAAATGTTTAGAGAAATAACTTGTATTTTTAGTTAGGGATAATGACTTAGGAGGGTAACTACCTATTAGCGTTGTTCACATATTGGCAACTTGTTTTTTTTTTTGTACCTAATACACCAGCTAACTTGTTTTAACCGTTTACATTATATCATTACTACCGACTAACCTCCATTTTAACAGGTAAATGCAATTAATTCATTTAAATGAAAAGGAAAAGAAAATACGTGGCTCTAGAAGATTATACGTGGCATGTTACGTGTCTATTTACACCTCACTTATTATATAGAGGGTGTTTATCTTTGAAGCCCTAGATCGACAATGGTTTCTTCTTCTACTTCATCTGCTTCTCCCAAACGAAATGTCGAACTCCAAGCTGACCATCCATGTAAGTGCGACATGCCATCTCGTGTGAAGATTTCAAGAACACCCGACAATCCAAGAAGAAAATTTCGAGTTTTTTAAAATTCTTTGGTAAATATGTTTTATTTATTCAACCCGAAACTGAATCTTCTTCTTCATCTACTCTTCAATTTAATTTTTTTTTTATCCTTTCATGAAGAGTGCAAGAACTCCAAGATGTAATTTCTGGGAATGGTTGGAAGACGATGAGTACCAACAACAGAAGAACAATGATTTGGGACAAATCTACAACCTAACATTCAAGCTTGGAAATTTGGAAAACGAAATTAGTTATTGCAGGAAGAAGTTGTAAGAAGAGAAGAACTCTAATTTTCAGACAAGAACTGGACAAAGTGAAGTGGAAGTTGTTTACTCATAAAGCTGCATTGTTTGTGTTATTTTTCTTGTATGTTAAACATGTATTTTTTAAAGTTTGCTGTGTTCTTTGTATCCTGTTTGGTGTACTCTTATTTGATGTATTCTTCTTTGATGTGTTCTGACTAAATCATGTACTTCATGAAGTTTTGTATGCAATGAAAGTTATGACTAAGGTTTGATGTTTAATACTTGATGTAATAAGACAGTAAACATGTAATGTATACAAACACATAAATAAACATGTATTAAGACAGTAAACATGTAACTTGGGAGTTTGATGTATTAAGACAGTAAACATGTAATGTATACAAACACATAAATAAACATGTACTTAAATCAGGGGATAATGACTTGGGAGGGTAAACATGTACTTAAAGTACCAAAATACCCCTAATGACTTGGGAGGGTAAACATGTACTTAAATTAACATGTACTTAAAGTACCAAAATATTCCCAAACATACAGGACCCAATATGTTAAAGTATCAAAATATTCCAAAAGATGTGCCAAGTTTGTCGTATTGTGCCAAACGATATTACAAGACCCAAGATTCCAAAACATGCAAAATAAAACAACACATTGAATTCAAATCTCTAGTGGGTGGTCAGTACTGCTTCCTTCCTTCCACCTTATGTTCTTCCTTAACTGAATCTTTGTGAGTCTTTCTGAAGTTTTTCTTGTCCTCTTCCTAACTTGATTTTTTGCATTGTGTTGAATTTCATGTTCCACATTATCTTGAACTTCAATTTCATGTTTCACTTCAATGTTAGCTTGAATCTCATCTTCTATGTTAGCATCAACTTAAATGTCATCTTGAATCTCCCCTACAAGGTTATCTTGGACTAAAGGAACATCAACTTTAACTTTAGGTACCACATAAACTTCAGGAACATCAACTTCAGCTTCCACATCAAGTTCAGGAACATCAACTTCAGGAACATTAGCTTCCACATCACTTTCACTTTCAAAGTCACTATCACTTTCACTTTCAAACATGACAACATGTTCCACTTTCAATTCAGCTTCAAGGTCTACTTTACCTGTAAAAGGGAAAACAATCAGAAATGGCACACAAGTATAATATATTACAAAATTTAACAGCATACCTTGTTTCTTAGGTCTCTTTTTGTTAGAACCTTAAGTAGATGGTACATCATTTGGTCTTTGAGGACATGTTGATCTGTTATGTCCTCTTTCCCTACAAATGGTATATCTCATGATCATTCCCTTTTTGAGACTGTATGCCTTGTTCCCTTAGCTTCTCTCTCAACCTGATCCCTTTTCCTTTTCATTGTTGGTCTTCCAAGTAGTCTTCTTTTTTGAGGGGGAAATGGTTTGGTGTAATCCACTTCAGGCCACATAACACTACAGTTTAGTGGCCTAATGTTATACCTATAACAACTTGCATACATTGATGTAGTAAACCATTCTGACACATACTCCTTAGCGTCCCTATTGAGGCTTGAAATGGTAGCATATCCATGCACACAGGGATACCCTACTAAATGCCATGCCCTGCATCCACATTGCCTAGTATTCAGGTCTACAACATACCCTTCAGTCCCCACCCTCACCTCAAATTGCATATACCCAAAAGGTACCACTTGCCAAAACCTATCCATAATCATATACAAATTAGAAAATATTAAAAATGACAAACATATAAGCAAGAAGAATTTACCTTTGTGTTTCCTTGTGCTTATTCAACTTCAACCTTGTAGAAGGACATATGCCTAAATCCCAAGATTGACCTTTGGCCTTGTATATACACAACCTTTCCGTTACATAAATCCGGATTTCTTCTAACATGGTAATAAGTGGTTTCTTCCTATCAACTTCAATCACAGAGTTAAAACTTTCAGATACACCATTTTCATATGCATCACAACTCCTATCAACCTAAAAAAATGCTTTACACCATGTTTTAGGGTCCCTTTCCATCAAATGTTCATAAGCTAGTGGCTCCAGCTTCTTGATGTAACACCCCAAGATTACCGGTTAAAAAAATTCATTTTTAATTTAGGTTAAAACGTAAAACATAATTACAAAAAATACATGATAATAATCCATGTTTGAAAACCGGTGACATCATAATAAGAATTCAGAGTACATCACAGAAAATCCATAGTACGGAAAAACAAAAGTGTATGTGTGATATGCTACTACCGCACCGGCTCTCTTCCCTTAGCTGAGGAGGTACCTGAAACCAAAACTGAAAACCGTAAGCACGAAGCTTAGTGAGCTCCCCCATAATACCTCATACCATGCAAGCATATAACATACAACATTCAACTAGGAGTTACGGGCCTCGCCCACACTCATGAAGATACGGGCCCTGCCCACACTTCGCTAGCCGGAAGATACGGGCCTCGCCCACACATTAATACCTGGGAGATACGGGCCTAGCCCACACTCCACTCTCGGAGAGATACGGGCCTTGCCCACACTCAGCCGCTATCCCATAATATACAAGTATCACACAGACAACAAGTATAGATAACTCTATCATACTGGCATATATCATAATCAACTCAACCAAGAGATACGGGCTCGGCCCACACTCTAATACTAACATCTCGTCTATACGGGCCGGCTTTGGTGCCTTAGACCCGTTCCTACTGGTAGGAAAACCCACCTCAGAGTAGCTGCTGATCTGTGTGGGAATAGTCTGTCTATTGCTGCTTCGGAAATACTCCGGCTGTAATTCCCACCAAACACTTAGTAAAAAACTGCTAACTGTCCTTTGAGTAAAATGACCATTTTACCGCTGATCATGCCCTAATTCAAAGTTAGAGTCAACTTCCAGTTGACCCGACTCGCCGAGTTGGCTCTCCAACTCGTCGAGTCCATGTCCAAACGACTGACTTGGATTCTGTTTCTACTCGTCGAGTTAGGCGTTGACTCGACGAGTTCTCCATCCAAACTGATGTTCAAGTCCTTCATCCTACTCGCTGAGTTGTATGAACAACTCGGCGAGTTCATCTTCATCCGATGAACATTTATGTTGCGACTCGCCGAGTTGTATGAACAACTCGCCGAGTCTGATCTTGATCTAAGGAGATTGCCTTGAACTCGCCGAGTCTGGGCATCGACTCGCCGAGTTCCATTATGGGTGAGTTTTGGCTTCCAACTCACCGACTCCACCCTAGACTCACCATACAACTCGACACAGCTAAAAGGGGACAATCTCGGAGACTCGCGACCAGACTCGCCGAGTAAGATAAGCGACTCGCCGAGTCTGCTTCATGCAAGAGCCATAAACGCGATTTTGCTCGAATCCAGTCCATGCTATTCGTAGATCTGGGCTCCTAGAGCATGAATAACACGTAAAGTTTCCAACTTTACGTGTAAATATCCATCTATGAAGGTTTTAGGGTTCAAAATGCACCAAAAGAGTAGATCTAAGGTCTTCATGCAACATGGGTCCATAAAGGCAGTAAATCTGAGCTCCTGGAGCTCAACCATGCCTAGATCTAGAGGTTTCTCAGCTTATTACGAACCCCCACAGATACACAAGCTTGGAAATGGTTCAAGAAAGACTTTAACAGAGCTATAAGGGACTATAAGCATGAAAGAAAGGGGAAAATCGAGTCATACCTTAGGGAACACATTGAGAAAGCTCAAAGATGCTTGACCTCCTCTTCTTCTTCTTGATCTACTCCTTTTCCCACTCCAAAACTTCAAGAGAGCACCCAAATGCTTCAAACTCACAAGGAAACAACTCTTGAACAAGGTATAGGGCTCTGTGGGTGAATGGGGGTGAGATTGGGGCAGAATGAGAGTTTAAATAGGGTGCAAACCCTTGAAACTTAGGGTTTCATCCAACAGCGGTGACTCGCTGAGTCTAGGATATGGACTCGCCGAGTTGCCAACTTATAACGTGTCCCGGGTCCTAGCTCTACTAGGCCAGTCGGACCTATGACTCGCCGAGTCCAAGGCTAAAAATGGAAAATACTCAAATAAGATTTACATACTAGGAACCAGGTGCTACAAATCTCCCCCACTTATTTTAGACTTCGTCCTCAAAGTCTGTTGCTCGATCCTGAAACAACTCGAGGTAATGCTCCATCATCTCTTCCACTGGCTCCCAAGTCCACTCCGAACCCTTGCGGTGCTGCCATTGCACCTTCACTAGTTCCACCCTCTTGTTCCTCAAATCCTTCGACTTCCTGTCGAGGATTGCGACTGGGCGCTCAATGTAATTCAGGCTTTGGTCAACCTGAATATCCTCCAACGGCACCACTGCTGAATCATCGACTAAGCACTTCCGCAGCTGCGAGACATGGAAAGTGCTGTGGATCTGGCTGAGCTCGACTGACAGATCCAGCCTATACGCCACCTTGCCCACCCGGGCTACAACCCTGAATGGTCCGATGAATCTCGGGCCCAACTTGCCCTGCTTCCTGAATCGAATGACGCCTTTCCAGGGTGACACCTTCAGGAGAAGCATGTCCCCGACTTGGAACTCCAAGTCGGATCGACGCTTGTCGGCGTAACTATTTTGTCGACTCTGAGCAGTCTGAAGCCTGCTCCGAACCTACTGGATCCTCTCAGTCGTCTTAAGCACCACTGCGGTGCTCCCCTTGACTCTCTGGCCAACTTCACCCCAGCATATCGGGGTCGTGCACCTCCATCAGTACAACATCTCAAATGGGGGTCGGTCAATACTCGCGTGGTAGCTGTTGTTGTATGAGAACTCAGCCAAGGGAAGATAGGTATCCCAGCTACCACCGAAACCTAACACACATGCCCGCAACATATCCTCCAAAGTCTGGATGGTCCGCTCGCTCTGACCATCCCTCTGCGGGTGAAAAGCGGTGCTAAAATGCAAACGAGTGCCTAACTCGTCATGAAATCTCTTCCAAAACCTGGAAGTAAAACGCACGTCTCGGACGGATATCACTAACACTGGCACCCCGCGCCCGCTACTATCTCCCTGATGTAGATATCGGCCAACTTTTCGGCCGAGATGCTCTCCTGGATCGGAATAAAATGGGCGCTCTTGGTCAATCGGTCCACGATGACCCAAATCGAATCTACTCCATGTGCAGTCCTGGGAAGCTTTGTGATAAAATCCATCGTGATGTCTTCCCATTTCCATAACGGGATGTCCAACGACTGCATCTTCCCATGCGGTCTCTGATGTTCGGCCTTGACCTTCCTGCAGGTCAAGCACCGCTCGATGTACCATGCCACATCCCGCTTCATGCAGGGCCACCAATAGTCTAGACGAAGATCCCTATACATCTTCGTCGCCGCGGGATGAATAGAGAATCGAGACTTGTGCGCCTCCTCCATCAAGATCTGGCGCACGCCTCCGTGATACGGCACCCACACCCTACGGTGTAGTGTTAATAGTCCTCAGCTATCATAATCGAAGGAGGAAACCTGACCCACCACACGCTCGCTCTTCCGATGTTCCTCCTTGATAGCCTCCTGTTGAGCCTCCCGAATCTGCTCCAATAGGGGAGTCACTACGGTCATCCTCGTGCAAATATCCCTTATCGGCGCCACCTTGCGGGTAAGCGCATCGGCCACCACGTTGGCCTTTCCCGGGTGGTAAAGGATCTCACAATCATAATCCTTCACCACGTCCAACCACCGATACTGTCTCATGTTCAGATTCGACTGATCCATGAGGTACCTCAAACTCCTATGGTCCGTGTAAATGGTACACCGAACCCCGTAGAGGTAATGCCGCCAAATCTTGAGGGCGAAAACCACCACCCCCAGCTCCAAATCATGCATCGGGTAGTTCGCTTCGTGAGGCTTGAGCTGCCTCGAAGCGTAGGCGATGACATGCCCCCTCTGCATCAATACCGCGCCCAACCCTGAAATAGACGCGTCACAATAAACCACAAAATCCTCTACGTCCTCTAGCAGGGCTAAGATCGGCACCTCGCACAATCTCTGTCTCAGTGTCTCAAACACAGCCTGCTGCTCGGGTCCCCACCGAAAGACCATGACTTTCTTCGTCAACCATGTCAGGGGTACGGCTATCTTGGAGAAATCCTAAATAAACCTCCGATAATAGCCTACCAAACCTAGGAAACTCCGAATCTCAGATGGAGACTTCGGAACCTCCCATCTCATGACAGCCTCGACCTTGTCCGGATCGACCAGAATCCCATTCTGGTTGACAAGGTGTCCGAGAAATTGCACCTCGCGCAACCAAAAACTCACACTTGGAGAACTTGGCATACAAGCTCTCCCTCCTCAGGGTCTCCAATACCTCTCTCAGATGCTCCTCATGCTCTTCCTGCGTCTTGGAATAAACCAAGACGTCATCGATAAACACTATCACAGACCGATCCAACATCAGTCTGCATACGCGGTTCATGAGGTCCATGAAACGCGGCAGGAGCATTGGTGAGTCCAAACGGCACCACACGAACTCATAATGCACCAGGAATGAGGTCAATCGTAAACTCCACCTGTCGCTTCGGAGGTATCCCAGGAAGCTCCTCTGAGAAAACATCTGCGAAATCTCGCACCACCGGAACCTCGCTTGAAACATCCCGAAATACGACCCAAAAATTTTTATTTAACAATTACTAAAAGTACTAAGATAATATCACAAAGTAAGACTCATACGTCAATATTTCAAAACAATAACTAATAGTTATGTAGAACTGTATCAAAACTGTATCAATCACATTTATGAAAAACTAGAAACATCTCCCAGGACAACTGAAACTGTGGTGTATGTGATGCCATCAACCCGAGCTCTTCCCTTTGCTTGCGGAAGTACCTGAAACCAAAACTGAAACTGTAAGCACGAAGCTTAGTGAGCTCCCCCAAACTACCAC